TTCGGGAACACCGATTTGAATAGTTCAAAAACATTCGATTCGTATTGATAAGGAGACGTGCTGATTAGTTTTTGCAAAGGCAGGTCTAGCCGTTTCGAAGATACGGGGCAAAAGTGCCAAATATGGTAACTCATTTTTAAAGAACGGAGCGTCCGATTTTAATAATTCAAAAAACATTTTACTTGTATTACAAGATAAAGAATTGATCAAATTTGATGATCATGAAGGCAGGTTTAGCGGTTTCGGGAGATTTAATGAAAAAGTAAAAAAATGCCATTTGGGGGTCAAAAATGATCATTAGACATATGCACACATCAAATTATCAGATATTTATAGATATTTTAACAATAAGTATAAATTTTGTTTACATTCCTATGGGTTCCGTACCAATGTTTATCCGTTAGACGGCGACGCGGCGCTTACGCGCTTTGATGTTTCGTCTCTATGCAGTCAAAGCTTTGAAAAAAAGTTCAAAATTTTCAAAATATGTCAAAATAAAGAAAAAAAATTTTTTCAAAGAAAAAATTTTTTTCATAAAAAAGTACCTGATTTTTTGTCGAATTAATAGTTTCTCAAAAACCTAATTTTTTCGAAGTAAATTTTTTTCAAAAATGTTAATCGTTTTTAAAAAAATAATAATTTTTGGTACGGGAAGTTCCAACAATTTGCCTTAAGGCACGATGCCATGCGCCCCACTAGTTTGATTATATTTGATACCGTAGAAAAACTGATATCTGTGCAAAATATCAACAGTTTTTCTTTTAAACATATGATTTTTGGAACTGTAAATAATAGTGTATGGATTCTGAATGTTTTGTTATAAATTACTTACAGACATCAAATCTTTTCCATGAAATTCAACGTGTTTTTTTTTTAAAGACAATTTGGACAAATTATTATTGCCATTGATAAATAATGTTGTGATAGACAATTTTTTGAATATGTTTATAAAACTATATAAATGAAATTTATATAATTTAAACCATATATATTAAAGACCAAGACCAGACACTCAACTATGTAGAATTTGACAAATTTGTAGATTATATATATACTTTATATATTATATATTATATATTATATATTATATTATATATATTTATATATATACCTATATATACACAGATTATATTGTTCTTAATCATTCCCATAACAATAAGAATAAATATCTACACCGATTACGATTAAAATCAAATTAAGCTACTCATTAACTAATTATAGTTATTTGCAATATAATTTACTCGTATCAATAAAATATATAATAATTAAAAAAAGTGTTTTAAACCTAATGTAGAAGCTATAAGTTATTTTTATTTCATGTAAGTAATCTTATGTGGATGCAAATACAAAAGTTCAAATTCGTAAAAAGAAAATATAAAATAGGTGATTCAATTACATAAGCCATTTAGCAAAAGCTGAACATGCAATGTACCATAAGTTCAAATATAATTTTGATTGATTAGATAATTACAAGCTAAATAATTTTCAATTTCAAGCTTGATGCTTTTACTCATTACCATGGCAACCGTATGTTGACTAAAAAACTTTTGACTGTTTAACATCATTGTTTGAGTTACTGAATTCAAATATTCAGTGAAACTATTCAATCATCAATGTTCTAATTAAATAATAAATACATAGTATTTTTTGAAAATACTTCAAGTTGCGTTGTTGTGGATAATATTTCCATGACTCGGTGAAACTGAATATTATTACATCAACGAGTATCAAATTACTTAGATTTCCGTGCTGTAATTAATTAATTGTTTACGTCATTAAATTTGGATTTATTTGTAACATATTTTTATTGCTGACTTATTAGCATTCCATAGTAAACTTTCACTAAAAAAATATATCGTTTCCCGTTAACGTTGGTATATTTCCTTAATTTATACAGTAAGATAATATGAAAAATAAAGCAAAGTTTAATTGTTGTTTATGATTTTAATTAACTTCCCGTAGAGTAAGTTATAGTAATCGCAAAAAAATCGAAAATGAAAATTCATACATATCTTCACGTTTCAAAGGTTTCTGAATTTGGCATACATAAAAAAATGGATGTATATGCGTCAGTGTGTGTAGTATGTATGTATGTTTGGATACAATTTTTAGTCCACGATTTCGGGCGTACAAATCAACCGATTTGAATTATTCAAAAAACATTCGATTCCTACTGATAAGAAGACGTGCTGATTAGTTTTTGGTGAAGACAGGTTTAGCCGTTTTGTAGATATGAGGTAAAAAGTGCCAAAAACAGTAATTCAGTTTTTGAGAGAACGGATTACTCGATGTCAATGATTTAAAAAACATTTTACTTGTAATGACGAAATAAATAATTGAATTGATGAAATTTTTCGTAAGGCAGGTCTAGTAGTTTCGGAGATACAGAGAAAAAAGTACAAAAAATTATATTTAGTAGTCAAAAATGAACATTAGACGTGGGCACATCAGATTATCAGATATTTGATGGAGTTTTTAAAAATGAGTACATACAATTTTTTTTGTTACTTATTTTATTATTCATATGGTTCAAGCATATTTCAAAATCTTCCGAAAAAAAACAAAATTCTCAAAAATATACAAAGTTTTATACTTCAAATATGAATTTTAAATTTACAATTCAGTTTCAAAATTTATATATTACAAATGCGTTATTCTAATCGTAAGAAATATATCCTCAGATGGATTCATTCATTCACCTCCTGCTAATGTAAACTTTCTCAAGTGCTTTGAGCGATAAGATCCTCACTGTATATTTTAAGAACAATTATAATTAACTATTTGCAAATGTATAAAGCAATTGTTGTAAATCATTGATCAATTTTTATTGATTACTGATTTTTTTTCCTCGAATATATAATTCTGGTACGTATAAATATAATTCTGGGAAGTTCCAGCAATTTGCCTTAAGGCACGATGCCATACACTACTAGTTTTTTTAAGGAATGAAAATAAGGTTTTTAGTAAAAATTAAAATCTTAATAAATTACTTTCCTCCAAATATTTTCTGATGATATTTTAATTACTATTATTAGATTTAGAGCAATCTATTTATATTATAAAGGTCAAGAAATTTTGATTTTATCTTTCTAGCTTAGCTAAATGACTTACAAACTCGCAAATAGAAACGTGCAGCTAAAAATCAAAATGACACTAAAACTAAGTTATCCTTCGACTAAGGGATTCTAAAAATCAGATAATTCCCCATTTCTGTCGGACAGATTAATAATGAAGATATATATGTTATCAAAGTTTTTCCTAAAGCAGGGGCAGTCGTATTTTGTACGAGCCGTCGTATTTTGTACGAGTTCGACCTAATTCAGTCATGCGATGCGCGGACCAATGAAAAAATCAATGAATGCCCGGTATTTGTACTTCGGGATGTATAATAATAATATATGTATAACTGATACCAGCGTATAATTGCAGGTCAGAGGTACAATGAGGCCAAACTTGAGGCTAATCGGATTTTATTTAAAGAATCTTGTGGCTTCTTATGTAAATTGTGACTTCATAAAAGACAAAAGGATGCTTAAGTCTTCACAATAGGGTATTTACAAATTACAGCAAAAGTTGGCGTCAAAATACAGTAAATATGTAACCGAACCTTAGACCTTACACGCTAGTCCTCATATATTTTCCATTTTATAAAGTGTCAAGCCTTCTATGTTCTGAAATTGTATAAAATGGGAGATATATAAAGACAAGCGCCCTCTTCTAAGAAGGGGACTGTGACGTCACTCGGTGAACGAGCGTTGCCGACAATCGTGGAAGACTCCCGATTGATCAAATGTCATATATCATACGTCACGTGCTTAACCCAAAAATATTGCATGCTCAATATGCATAAACAATAGTGACATAAACATATTATAATATTTATTATACATCATAATAGTTAATGTAAGTCAAATATAATGTTAATAGTTAATGTAATCAAATATCTGTGAGTTTTATTTCAATATTGTGATATTTTATAATGGTAATTGTG